GAAAGAGATGCTGAGAGAAATGGGGCAGCCTCTTACAGGATTTACATTCCCAGCTTATGCTCACAGATGTTAGGTCCTAGGTGACAGGGCCACCAGTCTACTTAGCCACACTATAACCCTGGCTTGTAATTAAAATAGCATATCCAAAACAATTCCTTTGAAGCATTCCACTCCAATTTTTCTAATCTCGTGAACTCTGACAGCTTTTAATTTTATTTTTTTAATTTATTATTTGCTACAGGGTCTCACTATGTAGCTCAGACTCATATAGTGATCCTCCTGTTTTCAGCCTCCCCAGCACTGGAATTACAGGCATGTGCCACCATGCCTGGACTTGGTGGCTGGCTCAGCACACCCAGGAGGCACAGGGATCAAACCCTGCTCCTGCGCTTGCTAAACTGGCGCTTAATCCGCTGAGCTATCTTACAGGCCCCCTAACAGCTTCTTTTCTTTCAGTTCTTCTCTGAGGAAACCTTCGCAGGGATCTGACAGAAATCACTTTCAGAAGAAAAGGGCTGTTATTCTGTGCTACCTGATCAATAGTGTGTACTTAGTCTCCCCTCAGTGTGGATGGGGCAGGCCCTGAAGGCCAACCACATATCTAGTAGAATGATGATGGAGGGAGGTCCACAGGCCCCAGGGCTCTTGGGTAGGGACTACTGCTAGGAAGGGGATAGGTGCAAAGAAGGGCAGGAGTACCAGGACTTCTGCCACAAAGAAGTGCAGCTCCCAGTATCCCTAGGCCAGACTCTACGATGCAGGACTAGCTGGGTGGGAGTCACCTGGAGGAACACTATCCTGGACACTGACAAACAGGATGCCCAGGCAGAGGAAATATACAAGAGAAAGCCTGGAGCTCTTTTATCCCCAAAATTCCAACTCTTGTTCTCTGAATTATACAACACACTAAATGACTCTTGGTCATCTCAACCTCTGAGCAGCTGCCCCACAGATCATAGAGGCAATCAGCTGGACAAGGTATTGATTCCTTTCATCACAATTCAAACCTAAGAAATTCCAGTCCATTCTTCCTTTAGAAATAAAGATCATTGGTTTTTTTCATTCCAGGTTAACCTGAACTTTGCTTGCAGTTTAATTCTAGTTGAGGCACACAGATTCCCACTTAGAATAAGGCAACAGTTGGCAAGGAAGGGATTTCTTTTTTTTTTTTGGTGGAACCAGGGATTGAACTCAGGCCCTTGCACTTGCCAGGGAGGAGCCATCTCCCCAGCCCCAAGGAAGGGATTTCTGATACCAGCCAAGTCAAGAAGTCAACAATTCTCTCACTGCAGAGAAAACGTCAGTGAGACAATGTGAGAAAAAAGACATGGACCACAAAGGACCACAAAGCTCCTGCTCTGGATCAGGACTGAAGCTGTACTGAGGAGTCTCCCAGAGCAGAAAGGACAGAAAACTAAAGCAGTCCGTTGGCAAGGGCTGTCTGAGGCTGCTCTGACATCTTCTAACACCTAGGAGGCCCACATCCAGAGGTCACCAAAAAACAACTACCCATTCCAACTAATATCAAAACTCCCTCACTGGCAAGGAACCTGTATTTGCCTATAAAAGAAGAGGGCACAAGAGATCTGAGCAGAGCACACACAGAAATAAAAATACAGATGGTTCAAAGATGTGAAGAGATGTATAAACACATTAAGTAACATGGGACCAAGATATCATCCTCCTTCTCCTACATCAATTAAAATTAAAAAGTTCACCAAGACCCAGTGTTGACAAAATTAAGGGGAAAGGCACCCCATGTATTGCTGGCATACATCTAAATTGAGGCAAAACCCCAGGGGGAAACACGTCAACATTACATATGCATTTTACCCACTGATAATGCTTTAGAAATTTATCTTAGGGATATGTACACACTAATTAGCGCACATAAGTGAATAGTGGCCAACAGCTATAGCCAATTAAATGCTCAAGAGAGAGGGCTGGCTGACTGTGCTGACATAAAAAGTTCTTATTTATTAACACACTGTTGAATAGCAAAAGCAAAGGGCAAATAGTATGTGTATTGTGCCACTACTGTGTAAAAGGCAAAAAGTCTGTGCTTTCAGCCTCTGTGAGGAAGGACAGGCGACAGCTGCCTGCTGAGAAGCATCCTGCTAGGGTGCAGCAGAAAAGACACTTGACACAGATTTTCAAACTAAGTGAATACGTGGGGGCTTGTTAGATGGCTCAGTGGTCTAAAGCACCTACTTAGAACAAGCTTAGCAAAGCACAGGGACCACGGTTCAATCCCCCAGCACCACATGCCAGCCAGCGCCGCCCCCTGGTGGGCTGAGCTGGCCACACACACACACACACACACACACACACACACACATAAGTAAATAAATATAATTAAAAAAAAAAAAAAGTGAATACGTGACCTTTCCAAAAGCTGCAATTAAAAAAAAAAAAAAAGACAGAAAAATGAAAAGAAAGAAAGAAAAGAAAAAAAGAATAAACCAGGTGTGGTGGTACACACTTGTAAACCCAGCACTTGTAAATTTCTTTTTTTTTTTTTTTTCCGGAACCAGGGAGATGGCTCAGTAGAATAAGTGCTTCCCTGGCATGCACAAGGGCCTGAGTTCAATCCCCAGTTCTGAAGGAAAAGGAAAAAAGAAAAAAACCTTAATTTTTAAAATTAAGGAGGCTGAGAGAGGAAGACTGCCACAAGTTCAAGGCCAGCTTAGGCTACACAGAGTTCAAAAATCAGCCTGGACTGGGGAGATAGCTCAATGGCATAATCGCCTGCCTGGCAAGCACAAGGTCCTGTGTGACACTGGGGATCAAACCCAGGGCCTTAAAAAAAAATTTTTTTTTTAATTTTAAAAAGGAAATAAAAATTATTAAAAAAATATGTAGACAATGATTATTACTAGATATGGAATTATAAGTGATTTACTTTCTTTACAAACTGCTAAGCTTCCTGCCTCTAATAAATATTGTTATTGAAACTAGACAAAAGAGGGGCTGGGAGATGGCTCAGTGAAATAAGCGCTTCCTTGGCAAGCACAAGGGCCTAAGTTCAATCCCCGGTTCTGAAAAAAAAAAAAAAAAAAAAAAAAAAAAAAAAAGAAATTGAAATAATCATTAACATAAATACATTATGACTAATGTACTATAAATTCATTGGTAATGTGTAATGCTATCAATTGAAATCAATTCCAGGGCTGGAGAGATGGCTCAGTAGAATAAGCGCTTGCCTGACAAGCACAGGGATCTGAGTTCAATCCCTGGTTCTGGAAAAAAAAAAAAAAAAAAAGGGACCAGGGAGATGGCTCAGTAGAATAAGTGCTTCCCTGGCATGCACAAGGGCCTGAGTTCAATCCCCAGTTCTGAAGGAAAAGGAAAAAAGAAGAAAACCTTAATTTTTAAAAGAATCTATACAAAACTGTCACTGCTCATACCACACTGGGCCATGTACATTAGAGCTCATCAACCACAGTTCTGAGGTCAAGTCCACCGTTCAAAGGAATTCAGAGAAAGGAGAATATTCACTTGCAGGATACAAAACCCTATGAAGACCTGGAAAGAGCACCTAGTGAATATACAGCCAAGGCTAATGTGGAAAAGCAGGAGAGTGCAGGATGGTGAAGGCAGAGAAGGCAGAAGACACAGAAAAGGCCCAGTAACAGGGAAGTCAGTTACTGGGCTACATCTGTGTTAAGAAAAGCCTGCACCATGGCCAGGGAGATGGTTCAGTAGAATAAGCGCTTCCCTGGCAAGCTCAAGGGCCTGAGTTCAATTCCTGGCCTCCCTCCCCAACCCACCTCCAAAAAAAAAAAAAAAGGGAGAAGAAAAGCCTGCACCACATCACACTAACAAAGTGGCCCCTTAGCTACAGGTGACAAGACACCCCAATAATGGCCACTGGAGGTTCAGGAGCAGAAAAAGTACAGGTCCAGGAAGGCTACCAGTGGGTACCAACCCCCAACTGTAGATTCAAGGCCAGAAAGATGCTCCAGCACCTAGTCTCAAGGCCACCCAACAGTGGTCAGCAGAACATCTTTAAAAAGCAAAGGTTCTTTGCTGGCCCACATTAGTAAGTTGGTGTTCAGCCACCAATATAATCAGATTAAAGTGAGGTTTTCACAGTGTCCTCTATGCCAGCTGGCCTCCTACACTCTGTCCAAAACCCAAGCTCCCCTACAGCAGAGTTAGCACACTAGCTCCAGCTCCATTTCTTATGTTTTTTTTTCCTCAAGGATGAGGCAGAGGTAGTGACACCTGATGAAGAGGTACCCAGAACCTGGCATTGTATAATGCTCCGTAAGTATCTCTTTACATTTCATGATTCAAAAATACTCTCAAGATCTCATATACAGGGGCTGGAGAGATGGCTCAGTGGTCTAAAGCACCTACTTAGAACAAGCTTAGCAAAAGCATCAGGGACTGCGGTTCAATCCCCCAGCACCA